ACTAAGTAGCCAAGCCATGATTTGGACTCAGGGAGCCTGACATTACAGTCCACACTCACAAACAAACACCACCTCTCTTCTTCAATTTACATTCAAAAAAATTTGTGTGTATGTGTGACTTAGTTGGTAACAGAGATCTGGACTATGTAAAAAAAACTGTATACAATGGCTAGAAACATTTTAAATGAAGTTGCTGTCAGTTTAGTAGAAGCTGAGACAGGAGTCAGCACCACGAACAATATTGCTGACGTTAAGAGAAATTATCTGCCTATTGAGACTCCAAGTCACCTAATGATCATCAAGTTCTTGGGGAAGTCACTGGAAGAGTTCCAGGTGTGTTTCTATGCTAATCATGGCTTAGAAAGGGGCATTGTTTACCTAGTGACAGCATATCAAACAAAAGGTCAGCAATAATTTTTAAAGTGGTTTGGATAGTATCAGAGATTGATGAACTACTGCATTACAGCTCACATATATATATGTGTCTGTTGAGGGAATATTGGGAATTAAATGTTTTAAATTTATATGTTGATAACTATTTGCAGGTTTTAAAATATTTCGATTATCACCTCAGCTTTGCTTATTCAATTCTTCAGTCTATTCCTTTGGTCCACACCTGTCAGCTGGGAAAAAAGATAAACTCTCAGACTGAGCTCTGATATGTGGAGCTATATCCCTTTTCTGTTTGCTCCTCGTCTGGCTCACACTTTTTCTTTAGGGGAGAAGGAGGTAGACACCTGCTTTAGGTGGGAAAGCCTGCCCTGGTCCTCGAGTGAGAATGTGGGCAAGAAGGCTGCTCCTTGGTAGGCTATTGCTTCCTTCCATAAACCTAGGTAATTGACCTGTCATATTTAAAGTTTTATTGGGTAAGATTCAAGTTAGGACTGGAGCCCTTCTTTTGCAGTTCCTTGAGGGCTACATGTGGAAAAGAACAAATAGAAAACTCAGTGATAAGTTCTGAATAAGGTTGTGAGAAATGAACAGTTGTCAGCCCCTGTGGTCTCAAGGAACACTTAAGGAAAGGGAGTTGTTTAAACACCTAAAAACAGAAAGGAAATACAAAGCTCTTCCATTTAGTATGTCAAAACCAGCTCAGAAGTATGTGACAGTCCAGAAGCATTACAGTTTCTAGCCAGTCCAGTCATGCTTCTCTGGCAAACTGCACAGTCATGGTTATGATGCATTGGGAGGAGAGGTGCTATATAAATGTCAGATGTTACATAAATGTCAGCAATGATTATTGTTTGTCAATGGGGGCTAAACTGTTCCTAAACAAAGCTCCAACTCCCAGCCAACATGTCCTTAGCAGAGGTTCTAACCACCAATAACCCATGAGAAGGGAATGCTCACCCTTGGTTCTGGAAAGCGGCCCAGTTGGGATTTGGGATTTGAAAACAGGGGTTGGGGTGGTGCCACTGCCACCACTTGCTCCAGTGACTTCAGGCCAGCCCCCTAACATTCTGAAGTCTGCCTTAGCTCACCTGTAAAATGGGGATCATTATAACTTGTGCCCTACTTCTCCTTGTTGTGCTGGGTTGTGAGAATTAAGGGAGTTCACATGGGTGCGAGTGCTTTGTAAAGTGTGAGCTGCTGCAAGGATGACAGTGCTCGTCTAGGTTCAGCTGGAATTTAGTCCATGCCTTCCCTTTGAATCCTACTCACAGGGAGAACATCTGAATGGAAATTAGCTTAAGCTGGGGATGGTGATGGTGGCTGGCCAAGATGCTGAAAAAGCCAGGTTCCTTCTCTCACGGAGCTGTCAGGAAGATACTGCAGACCAGGCGCCCGGATCCTGAATTCTGGCTCTGGCTCTGCCACTTGCCAGCCTGTGAGCTTGGGCGAGTTACAGACTAGGCTCTGGAAGTGATCGCCAAGGGCCCTTCCGGCTCTGACGCGGACTCTAAATCTGGCTCACCACTTGGCTCTAGCTGTGATTCACCTTGCGCCTCCAGGAGCAACTCTCCCTCCAGCTTCTCAGACGCACGGAGCAGGGGTCTTGGAAAGGGTGGGGGCCGTGTATTCCATGTGAGTGTGCACAGTAAAGAAGTCATGCCTTTGGAGGTGAAGTTATGCCTTTGGGGTGGGGGCCGGTGAAAAGGGGTGTCGAGTGAGTGCTCTGAGAAGCCAGGATGCAGGGAACACTGTAATGAGGTCACGGCTGTCGCAGGCAAAAAGGAGCTGGACATCTGCTGGTGGGGGAAGGGGGGAGCGTCCTGCATTTGTTTGCAGAAAGTGTCTTCCCGCACCCTTCAGCATCCCCCTCCCCACCTCTTCCCTAGCACTCATCCCCACACTTTTCACACGCTGCCAGGCCCTGTTCACAGGAAAGCCCGTGTCCGTGCCTCCTCTGTGGTCCTGTCTGAAACCATGAGGATTGTTTCCAAGCTGACTCACACCACTAATGTCAGGGAGCCGTGTCACACGGCGCTGGGCTCTGCAAGCTGTTGCTTGCGCGGTCCCAGCCGCCGCCGCCGCTCGCCGGCGGTGCACCGGGGTCCGCTTGTGGGGCGGGGCCGGGGCGGGGCCGGGGGCGGGGCCCGCCCCCTCGGCGCCCCGGCCACGCCCCTCCCTCCTTCCCTCCCCCGCGGACCGCAATGATTTAGAAGTTCAGGAATCCCACGTGACGTCACCGGGGGGGTGATGTAATGCACTCTAAATAGAATGTATTGTAATCTTTGCTCAGTCCAACGTGGTCCCTTCACCCGGGCTCCGCTGTTGCCTTCTCCACACTTGTTTGGTAAGTTCCTAAAAATACGGCTCGGCCACTTCTGGGGCTTTTGCATTTAGCCACTTTTGTTGCACTTGCCGCGGGAGCCATCTCGGGAGCGTACTTGTTTGCAGGGGTTGGTTGTCGGCAGCAGTCGCGAGGTTACTTGGTCCAGTGGGCAGGTCACAGGGCAAGGAGTAGGGAAGATGCGATGCATTTTTTTTTGGAGGGTGATCTGTGTTTGTAAACACTTGGCGGACCAGAGGGAAGTCCGGCCCCCAATGCTGGTGGACTGTGGAATTCTGCTGTGTCCTGAGGCCACCCCAGAGACCCCACGCCGTGTCCGTCCCGGAGCGCGTCTCGGTGGCCGCCGCGCCGTGCGACTGGAAGGATGCTAACGTGGAGCGAGCGCCGTGTCCGCCCCGGCGTCCGTGCGTGTGTGGGAGCGCGCGTGTGTTTCCCTGACACGGGGAACAGTTATGAATCGGGGGGGTGTGTTTGCCTCCAGAGACCTGGCAAGGTGCGGAACCCTCCAGAAGTGCGGTCAAGCGGCGGCAGTGGCGGCGGCAGCGGAGACGGCGAGCCAAGAACCTCCCCCCGCGTCCCCAACTTCCCGGTGATGCGGCGGAACCCCGGAGAAAGTTCGCAAACTTCCAGCCGGCGCGGCGAAGACGCCGGGTCACCTAGGGGGCGGGCGAGCGGGCGCGCGGGGGCCTCGCTCCCTGCCGGGTGCCGAGCCTGCTGCTGCCACCTCTCAGGTGGCAGGGCTGCCCGCCGCAGCTGGTGGGCGCGCGCGCCCGGGAAGGGGACGTCGCCCTTGGACGGCACTTGGCTTTCGCTCCAGGCGCGGAAGGCTCGAAAGTGGCGAGGCTCTACTCGCGTTCACTCCTCCAGCCGCCTCCTGCCTCCGACCGGTTCTCGCTGGCATCATTACCTCTTCCCCGCCGCTGCCCCAAATGACAGCTCTCGCTTGTGCCGCGGCGGCGCGGTGGCAGTTTCCAGGAGCCGGCGGCTGGAGCCTTCCTCTCTGGCAGGTTCTCCACGGAACCGCTTAAACTTTTCGCGAAGTTCTCAGAGCGGCAAGACGTGCGAAGGAACCAAGGAGATGTTTTCTCCCGGCATCTGCATCCCGCTTCTTCTTTGCCATAGATTTATTTCCGGGGGCGGGAAGGGGGGTGTAGCTGGTAGATAAAGCCCCAGACCTTGCCCACCTCCTCCCCAACTTTTCTTGAACGGGTGCTGCACTCACTTGATGCTTGTTCAAGGCCAGGCACTGGAGTGGGTGCTTGTATGTTTCGTTGTCGGAGTCCGCAGAGTGTGCTTGATTTTTATTTTTCCCTCCCTCTCTGACATGTGTCAAGGAATAAAGGCTGGATACAGGTCCATTACGTCATTCTGCAGGCCAGTAAGTGTTTGATTAACAGCTTCAGATACTCAAGGGTTCGGGGACTTAGAAATGCTGACAAAGCAACTCTGCTTTCCATCCCCAGCCCCCAACATACTCGTACAATTGCCTGTTCCCTGGGCATCTTTATTGCCCTCTCCTCCCGGACCCCTCCTTCTCCACTCCCTCTCCCGCCCGCACCGTTATCACTCTGGCCCCGCCTCCCCCTTTTACTGCTTTCCCTGGGGCGATCACTGTCCCTGGAGTGTGGGTAAGAGCTTCTGGCGTCTGAGGGGAGCACAGTACCTGATCAGCGCACACACAATCTGCCCTCTTCTATTATTTAAGGAAGGCACCAGCAAGCCCTCTTCTCTAGGGCGAAAATGCTCAGCCCTGATAGAAAAGGCATCTTAGGAAATGTTTAGAGACGTTATGATGATACTGTGTCCCTGTGGTGACTTAGGAAAACAACACACCCACTGCAAACAAAGTGCTTAATTCTATAGAGCGCCTTCCTCCAACCGTTTAGCCGAGGAGGGAAGACGAAGGGAGGATGCTGACTAAATCAAATTTAGCTGAAAGGATCAAGATTAAACGTTTCATTTCCAAAGTGAGGGAATGTGAGTGTTTGAACTCAAAGTACCATACAATAAATTGGTGCGTGTGTTACTTTCTTTCTCTTAACCTTAAGTTTCTGTATTTAAAGAGGATGTTAAATACATAAGTCACTGAATTGAGTCAGAATCTGCATATCTGGCAGTTGAAATAAAAACACTGTGTAACATATTTAAGGGATAAAAATAAAAAGAAATCTTAGTAGTGGGAGTGAGTGTGCAGCAGAAATCAAATAAAAAATTTACTAACATTGGTAAAAATTTACTAACATTGGATGGAGGGGGTCAGAAGATGTGGGTGCTTTCTGATTTGGAGTTAGTGAAAGCTAAATAAAGGAAAATTTATGTTCTGAGTATGTGGGAATTTCTTGATGAACACATGTCTTGTTATAATCAGATCTACTTTCTTCAAAGTGAAAGCTGTGCTGTAGAGTAGGCATTTGTGAAACTCCTGTCTGGGGTCTAATTGACCTCCTTCCCCAAGTTTGTGGCAGTATTTACTATTTACTAACATCTAGAGGTGAAATACTATAACCCCACACAATCCGTGTGCATCTAAAATGTGAAACATCTTGTTTGTGATGCACAGACCTAGAGGAAAAAATGGCCCGGGTCCCCGGCACTGGAGAGTGTGATTAATGATCAGTGATTTAGTGATCAGTGATTAGTGGTTTTATTCAAACTGTTACCTCTGACCAGAAGCACACATCAGAGGATTAACAGGCTCTTTAGATAAATGCTCATTAGTGGAAGGGGAAAAGCAAAGATAATAGGCATGCACCCAGGGACAACTTTCGAAGAAAATCATTCCCGTCTTCAGAATAATAAGCTCTATTAAGAGAAAGCCCTTTTAATTTAAAACTTGCTTTTATCTTGTAAATCAAAGTTAGATGTAAAAGTTTGTAGTGCCATTATAACCTAAATTTTCCCATATCCACTAGATGTGGATTATCTCAGTAGCGATATTTTTTTTTATTTAAATAAACAATTGGACCTTTAGAGCAGCTGAACCCTGACAAGTTCTTAACTCCCAGGGTTTGAAGGTGTCCCCCCTTCTAGAATGGAGAGTGCAACTTGCTAACTAGATGGCGCACTGTTATTTGGTGTGCTGTGCTGTGTGGTGCAGGAGTCTGACGGAGCAAGTAGCTGCTTGCGAGGTGTTCTTCAACACTTACAACAAAGTTGATTCTGTGTAGGGTTGGAGGCTAGACGGTTCTACAAGTTTTTAGTCACATTTTCCATGTCAGTTAAATCTAGGGTGTTCAAGGCTACTGGAAAAATTAGTCTCATTACTAAAAGAAACTTAGGGAGCGAGGGAGGAAAGGAGGGACAGGAGTCTAGGAGGTACCTTTGGGTTGCAGAAGTGATTGTAAAATACCAGATCTGTTCTTTTTTTTACTAAGAGCTAGTTTCGTAAGCTTGTGGTCTGAAATCCTGAGGCAAATACTCAAAGATTTATTTTCTTCCTCATCTTGCTGGTGAAAAAGGAGTTACTAGAAAGAAAGGAAGAAAAAACTTGATTTGGTGACTGCAGGAAGCAACACGTTGCTGATTTTATTCTACAGATAATGGTAAGATGATGTTTACTACTCTTATTAAGCAGAAAGGGAACTTTGCAACTGGTTAAATGAGACCAATCTTGTATTTTCATAGATGCGATTTGGAAATGGAATTCTTATTTTGCACTGAATCTTAATGTTGCTTTTGTCAGTTTCCTGGGATTTGGTAGCATTTTGTGTGGAAGGTTGTCTGTGTGTGTGTGTGAATAAGACCATTATTTCCCTGGTAAAATAAGGTTCATGAGCATGTGAACGGCAGTGGGGGAGCTACGAAGCATGTTAAATAATGTGTCAGGTAAGAATTCCTTTTTCTACGAGCTTTCATGAATCACTTCAATAAGTACTTAAGTTTTAGTAAGGAAGGCATTCTTAAAAAGAAACCTAAAAATTAAAAATAAAACAAAAAAAACCCATTCTCCACTTCCAAACCTAGATGTGTATTCCCCTGAGGAAGGATGCTATTGAATCAATATCAGCTATTACTTGAGTTTTAAAACTTAGAAAGAAAACAATGGATGAACTTACTTGTGCCTCCCTATAAATTTTTTCATTTTCCTTTGCTTGTAGCGTTTTATATAGATCCATTATTTTTAAATCCCGACTGATTCATAGCAATTTTTATTTTTCAACTTTACTTAAACATATTTGCTCAATTCAAGCCAACTGTTTTTAATGTAAATTGCTGATATCTTAAATTGCCTGCCAATTGGAAGTCAGTTGTGACCTTATATAGTTTATACATGAGCAGATGGTTTATTAGAACATTCCCACAAAAATGTGGAAACAATGCCTTTATTTCTATCTCTGTAATGTTGCAGCTTTTATTTGAATAGGTGGCTAAAGGAATGGTAGCTTGTCAGACTTTTCCTGCATAGCTTTTCAAGTATAGTTAAGTTGAAGATTTTTGTTACAACTATTTGTCAGTTTCCCACACCTGTAGATTCAAAACGAATCAATCATGGACTTTCCATGACTCTTTGTGCTAATGTCAAGTTCCTGGTCTCCTGATTTCTTACCATAATTTGCTTTTTAGTGACAATGCATCACCATCCTATTGTATTTCCTTCGCATTGGAGTTTGCTGCTTATTAAGCTGAAAATTATTTTGTGGGAGTGTGATGTTTGCTGGATCCCAAAGATGTGAACTTTGTATTTGTGGTTGGTTTTCTTCCGTTTGTGTTGTTAGATTAAAATTGAGGATGTGTGTGGACTTATTATTTTTGTCATCATTTCTTTTTTCTCCTTCTTCTTCACTTCAAAGCAATGCTGTTAGTCACAAAATTAATGTGATCATGGCTGGTGTTTCCCATCTATATGCTTCTTTTGCTTCTTACAAATTGGATTTCTACAGCAATTTAAGATCTTTTTTTAGAGGCAGCTTTCTTGGATGAAGATGGAACAATGATCTCAGTCAATTCATTATCTTGTCCAGTTTGACTACCAGCTGTATTATGGGAATCAACCAATGCTTTTATAAATTAGTGTTTAAAAATTTAAATCTAGGACTATTTCTCTGAATCCTACTTAAGAAAATTATACAACTGAGATAAGATAATAAACTGGGGGGAGGGGGGAAATAGCCTTAAATATTTAAGTGTGAGAAAGAAGCACTTTCGGATATGCTAAGCAGACTTGAAGAACCTTTTTGTGTTGCTATTTGTAAACTAAATAAGCTATCTGTTTTGTGGCATTGCTTTAAATAGAAACTCTGGCACTTTAAAAATGACATCATGTTTAATGTTTTCACTAAAGAGTTCTTACATTTTGTAATTAGGAAAAAAATGGGCAATTAGTGTTTTTTGAGGATCCATTAGTATTCCATTGTTGGGAATCGAAAATCGTGGATTTAACATAAGAGAAAAAAAGAGAGAGAGAGAGAGAAAGCTTTTACAGATTTCCAGGTAGTGATAATGCTGTTCCAGAAACAATTTTTAAAGCTCTTATTGAGACTCTGGTACTTTCAAAATAAAACTTATAAAGTTTAGGATAAATTCCTGAATGCATAAGATGTTACATTGACATTTCCATATCGCTTTCCTCCAAGCTCACTCTACTGCTCATTTATCTTTTCTGAGAAATACATCAGAATCCATTTAACATTTTAGAAATACATATTCTAGTTGCTTCCTTCTATTTCCTCAAGGTTCATATTTCTAATCTCTACCCCGAAATTAACAAGGATTGAAAACTATCATGTTGGCGTTTGTCTTGAACTAATCTTAGAGAGTAAGCATTCCTTTCGGCCTAGGGCTTCTGATGGGGAGATAGAAAGGCTTCTTGTAGCAGATGCAGAGCCGGGGATGGTGGGGGGATTTTCTCATTGATAGACCAACCTCTTCACTTTGCAGAGGAGACCCACAAGCCTGGTGGTGTCCCCCGGCTCACCTGAGACCCAGAGCTAAAGAGTGCCAAACGAGCCTAGAAACCTGGTCTCTGCTTCCAGGTCGGGCTCTCTTTCCATGAGCCAGGCTGCCATAAATGCCCTAGTCGTAAGTGAAACATAACCCATGGCGTTGGATGCTTTGCTCTTTTCAAACCTTTTGATCACTTACCTTTCAAAGACAAGTTTCTATCAGATCTTTTGAATGAATACCCCGACCATATAAACTGTAGTTTCTATTCTGTATATTCTTATATATCTGCAATGTTAATTTTTCTAATATTGGTCTCATTCTTTGAAGGCCATTTTTCTTCTTCTTCGCCATTATTATTAGACATGCCCTGTAAAACTACACCATCCAGATTTCATTTGAGACCAAAACCAGGCAAAAGTAAAAACGGTCTAAAAGACTGTCTCAGAATAAGGCAGTAACTTTCTTTACATCCTGTCTTTTCTTTGTCATCTTTGAGAAAGGGATCTGAAAAAATTTTAAAGTTTAAATAATCTTTCTTTTTGTCAAACAGAGCAACAAGTGCTATTTTCATTCTGGCAGATGTATTTTTGCCCAGGATCCGTCTGTAATATATTATCTTTCCAGGTTGGTGTATACGAGAGTGTTTAGAGGTGAATATTACTACATGGGAAGTGAGTTGAGTCTGGAAGTATGCTCTTTGAGGTTTAACAGGCAAAACTTGACTAATCATAGCTAATAGAAATCACACATGCAACATAGGGGGCTCCAGAGCACCAAATATTTGATTTAAGATGGCATTTAGGTTTGCTGTATTTAGGATGGGGAACAAGAATATCTCAATAGAAATCTTGAATGCATCTACTGTATGTGTTGTTTGGCCTGACCCATAGGTTTCCTTTCCAACTCTGCGTGAACACTTTATATCAGAATTCAGGTCTCTTTTATTCTTTTATTACACTGAGGAACCCCTGTGTTTCATGATTTCTCAAATATAACACATTTCAGCCAGTTTTATGCAATTCTCTCTCTGCTGGCTTCCTAAGGGGAGAAAACCACATGCCACAAAAAACATCTTTGTTTTTGTTTGAATTAGCTGATTATTAGAAGAAATACATTTTATCTCCATTTGCCAGATCCAGTAGGACCATTTCACTTTTTCAAAACAAGATTTTCTTCTTTAAGTAGCTATGATGCTGTTTGGCATCTGCATTACCAGGTACTAATCTAGGCACCACAGAGTGGAAGGCCTTAAAGATTAAGTCTATTTCCACCAGGGTACCTAGGTATGACATGATGTGCCACTACAAAGAGCCTGATTTGCCTCACTGCAATGACAGCATTGTCCAGAAAAACATTGCCTTCTGGGAGGAGAGACAAGATTATAGGCTCAAACTTCTACATTCTGAGCAGGGACTGATGCTGTGCTGCAGATGGCTTTCGGAAGGCTGAGGGTCTGCTGGGTTATTTATTAAACTACAACATGGTAAAACATTCACGGGCTAGAACTTCACCATCTACAACTTAAAAGCCTTAATAGACCTCTTCATCCATTCTCTGCATTTTCCTTATGCTAATGTTTTTCTAGATTTATTTTTTAACATCCATTCTAGTTACTCTACTTTCATGAGTAACCATACAATAACAAATCACAAGTGTGACCACAATGGAGAGGACATTTTTCCATAAGGGAAATAGACTTTCATATAAAATCTTGAAAGAAACAATTAGCAAGATAAAAGAAAGGAAAGTTTGAAATCTGATTGATGGCATCACGGGCTCTGCCATTCATAGCTCTGTGGCAATGTGGGTTATAGCAACAGGAGAAGCCTAAGATGGGAAGAGAGAATCCCCGAAGTGCTGCCTTGAGCTCATTATGCTTCTCTGCCTCAGTTTCTTCATTTGTGATAAAAGGGTGTTGGTCTTGACCAGCACTGTCCAATAGTGGGAACCACACATGTGAGCATCATATGTAATTTTAAATGTTTTAGTAGCCACCTTAAAAAGGTAAAAAGAAACAGGTGAAGTTAATCTTAATAACATATTGTATGTAACCCAATATATCTGAAATATTGCCGTTTCAACATATAATCAATATAAAAATGTTGAGATACTTTGCAGTTTTTTTTTTTTTGGTACTAAATCTTTGAAATCCGGTATGTATTTTACAATTTCTGCACGTCTCAGTTCTGACTAGTCACATCTCAAGTGCTCAGTAGCCACCTGTAGGCAGTGACTATGGTATCAGGCAATGCAAATCTCTCCTCTATATCAATCATTCTCACTTCTGGCACCCCAATAAAACCACCCATGGGGTTTTAAAAAATACTAATGTGGCTACTACCCCACGCCCCCATTCTGATTTAATTGGTTTGGGGTGGGGGCCTGGACCTCTATATTTTTTAAAAGCTCCAGGAGTATTTCTAAAGCATAGCCAGGATTGAGAACCACAATTCTAACTGATCTCTAAGGAATCTTCTCCTCGACTATTCTATGATTCTATTTAGGGAAAGGGATCGCAGTAAAGCATTCAGAGTCAAGGGCAGCCAGTGGTTGTTCAGGCCTGCTACACGCTGTAAAACATACTTAAGAAAATATAATTAATAAAAATTAAAATGTACAGATTGAATAATTTAGAAGATAATTCTTTGCACCACAGATG